CCCATTGGACAGCATCGGTTTAAAGGTACAGTACGCAGGTTTAGAAAACTGTTAATGTCTTGTTTGTCATATGAAGCGCTATTACGTACATACGTATATATACGTATGTCCACGTTCTCCACGTTCTCAATTTGATTAGTCACAAATAAGATCAGGTGAGAACACTGACGTCCACCTACTATTATTGGTATTTCAATATACACGCAGAATAAATGTTTGGGAATGTTTATTTATCTTGCTGTATCACGATTAATTATTAATATATCAATCATAACGCAGTAAATCATGATTAATCGCAATTAATCCAAGGCTCTCCTGTGACTAATCACAAGCAAAATTTCTCAGTAACATACATTTTATTGTTATTGTTTGCTAATGGTAGTAGTTTTAGATGTAGTATTATTGTAACTTTTTTTTTATTTTAACGAATGTTGCGTCATGCTAATACATCCTGTTGAGAAGGTTTTCGCTAAAATCGAAGGTAAATTGTCTTCATAGAAGAACACTGAGAAGAAATATCTGCAAATAACATTTCATCATATACTATAATATATATTCACACACATATTTACGTATTTATGTATATATTTATATATTTATATAAATATATTCACACATATATAAATATATATTTATATACACATATATTTACATATGTATTTACATTTATGTAGACGTGCAAATCTATTTACATGTATACCCACAAATATATTTAGATATATATTTAATCAAAAATGTGTCGGCACACATATTGTATGTGGTATAATTAGCCACATATATTACACCGTGTGTTTTCCAATATATCAATTATAACGCAGTAAATCATGATTAATCGCAATTAATCCAAGGCTCTCCTGTGATTAATCACAAGCAACATTTCTCAGTAATATAAATTTTATTGTTATTGTTTGCCAATGGCAGTAGTTTTAGAAGTAGTTTTACTGTAACTTTTATAAAACCTGAATTTTTTTTTTTAATTTTAACGAATGTTGCGTCATGCTAATACATTTGTTGAGAAGGTTTTCGCTAAAATCGAGGTTAAATTGTCTTCATAGAAGAACATTGAGAAGGAATATCTGTAAATAACATTTCATCATATACTATAATATATATTCAAGAGCAAAACAAAGGTGAAGCCCTCACCATGTTTATACCCATTGGACAGCATCGCTTTAAAGGTACAGTACGCAGGATTAGAAAACTGTTAATCTCTTGTTTGTCATAAGAAACGCTATTACGTACATACGTATATACATATGTAAATATACACAAATATAAGTATTTGACTCACCCTTTACCACAGCTTATATCTGGGGTTTTATATTTTTATTCCAGCACAGATTAATTTTTTCACTCCCTCTGCAGTGAAGCAGCAGCAGCATTAGCAGCAGCAGCAGCAGCAGCACTAGCAGCTATTTGCTCATCTGCTCGACTCAATTTTGGCCTCTGTGCACACACGGCAGTTTCGGTACCGATTCTCCTCCGTTTAGCTGCTCCTTTTGTCATACTCAATTGAGTGACCACATAAAACAAATTGAAATCCATTTGCTTGAGGAGGATTAGAAAGAATTGCTTTAACAAAGACAAGAGGAGCAGTGGAGGGAGAGGTACAGTAGTTATCTCAAACTAATTGTTAATAGTGGATATGAAATAAAAGCCAACGTTGCTGGGTTTTTGGAGGGAAACGAATTGGAGAAGAAACAGGCGGCAGACTGGCTGTTAACACTGCACTTTACTTTGATTACTGGATTATGTCCTTATGAAGATGATGGGAACAAACAAAAGAGCTACCACCCAGCTGTCTTTAGTGTAGATTAGCCAAATGTTTTGGCAACTTTTAGCTAGCTACCTGCAATCAAATGTGAATCTATTGTTGCCAATTGTCAGCCTTTAGCTACTTTATGGTTTTCTTTCATGTATTTTGCCAACTTAAACATACTTTGTAGTTTTTTTTATTTTTTATTTTTGGTCATTTTTCAAGGCTAACTTTTATCTACCACATAGCTGTGTTTAGTGTAGATTTTCCAATGTTTTGGCTACTATTAGCCAACATCTATGCTACCTCAAATATTACACTTTTCTCACATTTGAAAACAAATTTAAAAATGAGCTGTAATGCTGCCCTCTAGTGACTTTTACTTTTATATGCAGCTGTTTTTCCCCAAAACTATTACTATGGCACATCTCATTTGGCGAAACAGAGGCCGTTATCAGTTTTTAATGAAATGAATAATGAAAACCCGATAATGATTCTTACAGATATTACTATAATTTCGCTAATATCGGACATCCCTCGTCATGAGTTTGTCGGATCGGGATTCATCCTCACATGGACACTCTGACATGTGTCAGAAGTCTTTCACAATTCATTAAAAGTTCTGCCGGCAGGTTCTGGAACTGTAGAGTTGGTCGAAGCCCAGGAGCGAGTCTGCCCTGGTTGACGAGACGCACTAACACCTCGTCACTGCCGCGAGCCTCGACCATGAAAAGGGAACGAGGATAGAGAGCGTCTGACCGTCTGAGCACAACCGGGAACAATTTCTTTAGATATCGTGGATTTAATGTCGTCGTTTTAAAAGCATCAGCAGTTCAGTCGGCGTTACGGCGTGTTTTTCTAGCGTCCTCTCCGACAGCCCTGTGGACCAGTGTGAGCCACAGTGTACAGCGCCGTCAGCTTTAATTACCTGTCAGTACGTCATACTGAACACGCTCGATACAGAAACGCAGGACTATCGGGAGGAGAACTCTGTAAACTGTACCTGTCCCTGGAGCTCCTCCCGCTCCGTCACATCCTGTCCTCTGAAACATTAGACTGTCCTCAGTCAGGACAGACGTCCAACTTTACTGTGTCCACTAGGGGTCAGTTTACTACTCAATAACTAAAAATAGACGTCGGTGTTTTTCAATTTAATTGGACCCAAACTGGAACAACCAGCTGCTTGGTTTGTTAGCTAAATATAAATATATAAATATATATTTTAATTAACCCATACAAGCACAATTAACTGAGCCTTCAACATAATCAGTTATGTATTTTTTTTAATAAATATTATATAAATTTGAGTTATATATTTATTCTATTAACTTTTTATTTTAATATTTTTTCACAATAATAATTTGTATTAGTCACACTATATTTCACAAGACTATTTTTGTTCCAGAAATTACAAAAAATATTTTGAAAAATTATATTTAGGAATGTTAATTTATCTAAGTAAATTAATTCATCTAGATTAATCGCGATTAATTGTGATTTATCACAGAAAAACGTGATTATCACATTTAAATAAATCGGTAAATTCAATATTCAATTCAATACATTTATTGAAAAATAAATACATTTGACTGAAAATATATAGATGGGATGTTAATAATAATAATAATAATATTGTCACCTCAATATTTTTTTTATTATCTTCAGTCTGCTCTCAACTTTTTTGATTTTGAAGTATTTTTAAAAAAATCTGTTAAAAGTTTTGATGTGTCGCAGATCTACGTGTCAACTCTCATGTTTGATTGACTGGTGGAATGAGAATAAATAACGTTCTGATCGCACCTAGAGACTGGACTCTCATTAATTCTCACCTCCAAGATGTTTTTTTTTTTTTTTAAATATATTTTTCTCACTGTTGTCTTGTGAAGTTTGAATCCCTGGGAGGTCCGACTAAGAGTCACTGCTGTCTCTGCTCTCAGCCAATCACACACATTTCTGTCTGTGCAATAATATTTACCATTTAAGAAGAGGTCCCCAACCTCAGGGTCCCGGACCGATACCAGGCCATGGGTGATTTGCTGCGGGGCTGCAAAGAAAACATAATTAACACATTGCTTGCCTTCGATTGATTATCAGTCCTTCAAATATCAATCATTTATATTTTACCGTGTTATTCAGTGAAAGGTTGGAGCCAATCTCAGCTGTCACCAGGCGAGGGCGGGCTTACTCCCTGGAAACTCCTCCAGTCCATGTCTCGGCCTTACATACAGCACAGACAACCATTCACACTAGCGTTCACACCCACTGATGAAAACATCAAAAACATAAAAGTTTAATTAATTCCACCCGCTGTCCACCCAAGGGGCCGCGCTCCTTACATTGTCAACCACTGCAATAGTTAAAGGCCAGTCTGAACGTTAAGTTTTATAAGATAAAACAATTGCTTCTTTAAAAATGTCAAGTTGCGAAAAGAACAAAAATCTAATGTTGCATTTCAACCTTTTTTTCTACATTTACTTCAGTTTTTTTTTTTTCATGCTAAACCTTTAAAATACAACGTTCTCACAGCAGCAGCTCATCAGGAAACATTGATGTGAATAAATTGTAGTTGTTTCTCACGCCCAGACCATAATTCTGTTCAACTGAATCTGGAAATATTTTCTCCCTTTTCTCTTGTGTTGATCCAGGATTTATTCCACGGCTGTGGTTTTATTAGACGCACTATTTAATTGCGGCTTTGATATTGTAATGTGAGGGATTGGCCGACAGTCAGCGACACAAACGCCGTAAATCCAGAAATTAAAGGCTGACAACAAAACAATGTTTTTTTTTCAGCTTTTGATCTCAGATGGCTTTTATTTTATCAGGAAGAGACAGCTGTCAAACAGGAAAAGCAACTCCGACTGTAACCTCCTCCGTAGACCGATAATGAAGACGTGTCAATAACGTTTCATCAACACAGAGTCAGAGTCAAATCTAAGCGTTTGACTCGTCACACGCGCACAGATGCAGTGATGTAGCCTACGGCGTCAATATGGTATTTACTATAAAAGCAGTGGTGTCAAACATAAGGTCCGCGGGCCCAAACTGGTCCGCTAGGAAGTCCGATCCGGCCCAATTGATAAATTATGAAAGTAGAAAAAGCACAAACACTTCATCTTCACGATGTTTTGTCAAGTGGTATTTCATTAAATATGTAGATTTTGGGCCCCTCAACCAAAATGAGTTTGACCCCCCCCCGCTCTAGAATGAGTTGGGGGTGAGTCGAGAACTTCCGAGACAATCGTTTTAGTTTTCAAAGGCGTCTGATTTTAATAATGTCATGTGTCATGTGAGTCAGGTTACATTTAGTTTTTTTCATTTTTTTTACACAAACAAAAAAAAGTATTATATTTGTCAAAATGTATTAGCATAGTACTCATGATCTCATGCACATATTACGGTTTAGTAACTTTGGTCACTGGTGAAACTACAGTTAATTAATATGAACCTCATTTTTGCAAAACAGAGAGTGAATTGACCTAATCACATAACAGTGCCCCCTACAGATGCCACATAGAGAAACATCCTTGTTGTTTCAACAGACAAAGTTTTTTTGTTTTTTTTTCATTTTGTCTTAGAACTTTTTGACTTCATCGTAGCCATTTGCTAACAATCACTTAGGTCACGCACACAAAACGTAAAGTGCGAATTATCACATTGTAATCATTTACTGTAAGATCCACGTTGTTCCGTGGGTTCTACGTCCTCCAGACAAATTATATTCACGGAAGATTAGTTGTTTTTACTTAAAAAAATACCACTGAATGAAAAAACGTATCGTCATCTCGTCTCGTTTCCTACAGAATCACGCGACATGAAATCAGTAACAAAGGAATAAGGTTTTCTCTACAGAAACCAGACGTGTACCTTAATTTTTTTTTTTTTTAAATAACAGAACATCTACTTCCAAAGTCGCTACATAAAAGTGCGATCCGTTTAGATTTTGGTTTAAAACAAATCGACTCTAATGTTTTCTTTTCTAAGGACTAGGAATGAAACCAGTGTGTGTTACGACACAACACTGGGCCGGGAAGGTTTGGTAACAGCTTCAGGTTGACTATAATGTAATTTATTCTAACAGTTCAAAATATTCTTTTATATATACGTAACATACATATATACATAGAAACGGAACGTACACACAGTGATGACACAGTAATCCCAGATGGGGGCGTACAAACACGAGCTGTGGACCGCAACGGGTGGAACCTCACGCCGACGTGGCCCACCTGGGCCAGTCTGTACGGAGAACGTAGACCACACTGAACAGACTAAGTATATGGGATTAGCAAAAGGTATGATGATCAAAAACATTTTTAAGGCCTCTTAAAGATACACAATTGTACACAGGGAAAACAATTCACGTTTTCTTCAGAACTGGATTGGAATCAATCATTGCCTGTAAGGTAGAATGTTGTGGGGTTTTTTGGAGGGTGTGAGGAGAGCTTCGTATTTGTATGTAAATCTGTAGTACTAACTACAGCACTTCAAATGTCATATACCTCTTCTACTGCCATCGTTAAAATGGTTGAAATGTGTTTGGCGTTCTCGGTGAATTACGTTTGGTTTTCAAACTCTTCTTTTGGTGCATCAAGGTTTACAGACATCCGGTCTGGACTAGTCCAGCTGTGGCACTACTTTCTGACCTCATAACACGTCCAATACTTCCCAGGTTTTAAAGCCACTAAAATAAACAGTAACGTCCATGTCAACACTGACACGTCTGCAGTGATAAGCTAGCTAGCTAGCGGAGACTCTTGCCTACCTGATCTCACAGGTCTACGATCAGTTTTTATAAATGATTCCAATGGATTTTTATACCATTTTTGTCAAGTACCCTTGTCCTTTTTTGTTTGTGTATTTTTCTCCCTCATATACTTTTCATTTGTCTCGCTGCATGTGTAAACCCCAAAAGAGGACAAAAAAAAAAAAAGTTTTCCCATCAGGCAGTTCATCTTTCTCTGACCCTCCGCGACGCCTCGGGACTAAAAGTTCTGCAGTTCAGGAATGTTTTTGTAAAGGTCCAGTGAATCGGGATTGGAGAAGGCTCCCCTCTGCGCCACCTCCCGCCCGGCAATCACCTGCTTCACTGCCACCTCCACCTTCTTCCCGCTGATGGTGTACTGCAGGAGGATAAATTAAACAAACGTCAGGAGTGAGACAAGGCGACGGGCCAGCTCTGATATCTGATGTGAGCTGTTCTTTCTCTTACAGGAATGTCTTTGGTCTCCAGCAGCAGGGCGGGGATGTGTCGGGCCGACAGAGCCTTCCTGATGGCTCCTTTAATCTTGGCCACCAGCTCTGGACTGAAAGGCTTAGAGGGCGCCATTTTTAAAAACAGTATGACTCTCTCCTCGCCGTCCTCGTTGTACTGAGGTACGCACAGGCTGTCGGACACTTCCTCGAAAGCCTCTACTGTTGGGGGTAAGACAGAGTCGATTTAAAGGTCGACGAGCTTCAGTATCATGACTGTCAAACCATAACGATGACCAATCCGATTAATAACGGAAAAGCTGCGGATAAATCGCAATTAATCGCGATTAATTGACAGCTAAGATTAATCATGATTAATTGAGATAAATCAACATTCCATAATGACAAAAAAAATGGTCAAATTTTGATTTATGATGTCAGAAAACTCTGACCGTTCATCTTGACGGCGTCTCGTACAACATGTGTCGATTTTGTTTTTAATTTCAGTTTCTAAAAAATTAGTCTACATTCGTGAAGATAATTTGGCGATCTATATTACTACCTGAATACATCTTAAAAGGTGTTTTATTTTGAAAGTTTACAGACCCTTAGCAACTGTTTAACCATCCTTCAATGACAGGAGGTTGGGGCCGCTGTATCTGACGGTCGGATTATTATCAGATATACGGCGGTCATCTATCGGAGCAAGTGTCGAAATGACTTAAAAAGTCATTTTTCTGATCGGATTTCGTGCTATGATTGACAGTCCTGATAAAAACGTGAAAACAAAACAAGAGAAAGAAAAACGGAAAAGTGAGTTCAAGGTAAAAAAAAACATCTGCTCCAGTCACCGATGTTGTAGATCTCTGAGCTGCCAAAGCGAACTCCGTTGGGGTTTAACGTTCCGTCACTGCAGAACAAACACATGAGCAGCAGTGTGTGAGTGTAATGTTTACACAGACACAATATTTAACCCAGTCACTGAACACACCACAGTATGAACGCTACAACAACAACAACAGATGGACCGAGTCGGAACGTTGATACGTTTTGTTATTTAATGACCTTTGACCTGCATGTCGACCCTAAATGTTGAGGTTGAATTTTAAGAATATGTAAACATACTTTTTTTTTTTTACCAATAATTATGTTTAATTATGTACTTATAGTGTACTACGTATACCTATTCTACGTACTTCAAAAAAGACGGTATTTCACTCTCTTCAAATACTTTCATTTTAAATATTTCCGGCTGACCACAGGGAGATTCTCCACGAAAAACGCACTGACATGTAATTAACTAATTATCTGGATAATTAATCATAGTGTTAGCATGGTCATTAAACTTGCCTAGCCCTACTTTAAAGTCATCCTGGCATCATGTGGGTTTTCTTTAGAGCTCATTTATCAATTTCTTTGCAGATGACTGTGTATTTTCTTGGACAAAATCGCATTAAAAAAAGTTGGGTTTTTTTTTAATCTTTCCTTTTCTTTAAACAAAAATAAACTGGAAAAATAAACATGCTGTATTATTAATATTTACAGTTGAATTTTACTGTGTACAGATAAAAAAAAACTAAAAGCAACACTTTTGACTCAAAGCCCTGATATTTCTGACCTTCTGCCCAACATGACGACGCCCCCTGTCTTAGGGTTGATTTTACAGTAGTCTCCATGAGCCCATACACCTAAACAGAAGAAAGAGGAAAGAAACAGCAGTAGATTAAAAAATAGTCAAAAAAAATTAAATACACATTTTAGACCATTGTTTCCCAAAGACTGGTTCGCGACCCTCAGGTGGGTCGCAAGAGATTTTTTTCATGTCGTCTCGCATCATGTTTCCCAGGAGTTTACGAATAATATCTATTGACTTGGGTTGTGAAGGTTTGTGACTTTTAAAATATGGGTCCCCAGAAAAACAATTTGGGAAACGCAGTTTTAGGCCATTTGTTCGCAGTTTTTCTTTTGTAAATTTGTGCCATATTTTTTATCTATTCCAAATTATTATTATTATTGTCATGGCGACCTTCTTAAACTACGACCAGTGTTTACCTCGGGGGGTATTAAATACTTACCTGGGAGTATGTAATGTTGTACATTGTATGAGTACCGTTTGTGTACCAACCAGGGTATGAAGAGAAGTACGCTTTCTGGTATTTGCTTCCGTTCTCATCGTTCCAGAAGTGTGTGGGCTGACAGGGGATGGGCTTCAGGCAGACCAGCTCCCCGCTCTCCCCCCACACGGGCTTACCTGTCCACGGACACGAAAAAGAGACAAAAAAAATCTGGGATTAGACCCTTACACCACCAAAATAGTACCGGTTCCTGTGATGGGGAACTAACGGAGCGGTTAACGCCACACTTCACAGAGCCAGAGTGTGGGAGGAAGATAAAGAGAGAGAGAGAGAGAGAGGGGGGAGTGAAAGATGAAGAAATGACCATACAAACAAACTAATAATAATAATAAAAAAAATCACTTTAAATCACTCCAATTTAAAAGAAAACAGTATCCTCCATCGCCTGATGTTTTCTCAGACTCCAACCGTTTGTCTGGACCACATCTCGTACTTAAAGAGGTAATTATTGCCATTTTTATTTGTTAAATTGCCGAGAAAATATGCAGAACTCCTGGTAAACCGCAGGTATGTACTTAAAGAACATGATGAGAAAACGAAGCAGAAAATAGAAGCGTTCCATTATACAGAACAAAAAGAACTGCTCTTTTAACAATTTACACCGCCAACTGGGTCACCACAGTTTGTCATGTAAAAAAGTGGGTCTGTATTTGAAAAAAGTAAAAAATAAATAAATAAATAAAAAACCTGTGCTGCCTTAAAGGACACGCTGCTTTGTCGTTGTTCACCATGGAGGCCGACTTGATCACAAAAGACATATTTTAAACTGACCTAACGTCAACCTTATGAGTCGCCCCCTGGTGGCCATTCTCATGAATTCATATTTTTGTTGTTGCTATCCTGAGGTAAAACCTGAGAACAAACTGTTTAATTAAAACATTAATTAAAACATTATATATAAATATATATGCGTATATATAAATATATATATAATATAGATAGATATATATTCCATGTATATATCTACTTTTAAATTGTGTTTTAATTGGAAAATTACAATGGTTGTGATAGATATTCTGTCAGTCAAAAGGAGATGGGGGTGCGGAGGTCAATGATTGGCCCGAGGATGTGATGGGATTTTTTTTTTTTTTTTTTAACCTGTTCAAAGCACGAACACACAAAGCCACACGCACATTCACACAAACGTTGGGTCTTACCATCGAGGCTCCAGGCCTCCACGGCCATGCCCAGGTTCCTGGTTTGGATCTCACCCTTGTACACTGGAACTGTCGGGTTTTGACCCATGAAACATGACACGATATCAGTACCACCTGAAGAAAGAGAACAAGATTCAACAATATGGTTAGTTAGCTAAACAACTAAAAAATACATGAAAATACATATACACACATATATATATCAATTATGATTACACATACATAAATATATATATATACATACATACATATACAGTATATATATACATACATACATATACAGTATATATATATATACATATACACATATATATTAATTATATATTATTACACATACATAAATATATATATACAAACATACATATACAGCATATATGTATATATACATATATACATACATATATACATATATATATACATATATGTATGTGGTGCTTTTGGCCATTCATTTCATATATATATGTGTATATATGTATATTTGTATATATGTGTATATATGTATGTGTATATATGTATATATATGTACATGTATATATGTATATATACTGTATATGTATATATCTATGTATATATATGTATGTGTGTGTATGTGTATATATATGTAGATATATATATATATATATATATTATATATATATATATATATACACATATATATAATATATATACATATATAACATATATATATACACATATAAATAATATATACACATATATACATACATATACAGTATATATACATATATATTTGTATATTACACTGGGGATCCTGAATATTGACCTCGAGAATATTTGGACAAAAACACCTTTGCCTCCTCCCACATTCTCTGTGTTTATATTTTTATATATATTTTAACCACATCTTAGCCTCTGCCCTCAAACCCTCCACAAAGCCTGTTCATGTCTCAGAGTTCTTCCAAAGGGGCCTCAGCGAGGACAATACCGCTGACAGGAGACCAGACGTCTCCTGCCAGCTCCTAATACCAACGGACGCCTTCTGTCCAAGTCGGGACATGTGACAACACAGCAGGAAATCCCAGATAAACCACAGAGAGCAAATGGGCGCGTGTTCTGTCTCCTGCACACCGGAGGAAGGCTCCACCCTTCAACCTGGACTTTCTGGACCCTGTCCTGCGATGGGAAAGCCTGTGACAACCTCCTGCCGTGATCCTCGGACCCTAGTGCATGTGGTAATGTCGTGAGAAAGTTCCGGAGCAACTGCAAAACGTAGCAATTGGAGTTGTCACGTTTTACGTTAATGTCGTAAATGTGAAAACCACCAGCCTTCATAGTATATTTTTGAAGCCACGTCTATTGAAGTATGGATGATGGCACCAGGTATCAGTGAGTACACAGATAAAAATACGTGTACTTATTGGATACGTATTGCTTTGTGGAGAAAATGGTACTACTGTACTAATTCCTTGGAGTACTCCCCACCCTGTTTGACTTTGTGATCCGTGACCACACTTTGGCCATAATTCGACCCATATCTAATCCACAAAAAAACACAATTTAAGATGACCTAACATCGACTGTATGAGTCACCCCCTGCTGGTCATTAATGCGAATTACATCTAGTTGCCTAATGGTACTCTTCAACCCTGATGTATGTGACAACCGAGAAAAAATCTTCTTTAGGTCAACTTAGCCAGTTAACTGTTGACGTGATTAATCACCATTAATTGCGATTAATCGGAATATAATATTGTACTCATTTGGCATATTTAACACGTAGATACCAAATACTGACTACATTACCGATCAAATTAGCAACAAGTTTGTCAACCTGATCTTTGGCGACACAGACAGCAGGGGGCAGCGACCTTTTCCACCTCCACTGACCTACATAAGAGTTTAACTCTGCAGCACTGCGTTCCTTAAACTCCTTTTCTATCTCGTTCTCCAACACACACACACACACACACACACCTTCGCCACAACACCCATTTGTCTCCCTCTTCCTTCCAATCATTTGCTATTTCTGACGCGTTCGATTCATTTTTCTCCCCCCATTGTTCCGTCTCCATTTCCTCGTTTCACTCCCTCTCCGTACCACAGACTTCATCCATCCATCTTGCTCGCTTCCTTTCAGCTGCTCTCTGCCCTTTCGCTACTCCTTCCCTCTCCTTTCCTCCGCTCGCTCACCTCTTCCCGTTTCCTTCCCTCCCTCTTCCTCTCCTCCCTTCTTCTCTGCCAAGTTCTTTATTGAGCTCTAATTGGCTCCCAGGAGGAAGAGAAAACAGTCTTCTGATTAAACGCACACACACCTACGGCGGGAAGACGCGCTATTATTTTATTATTGGGCCGACTTCATGGGTTGACAAACACGCACAGTTACACACAGACACACACACACACACTTGCATTTGAAGCTAAAAAAGCCACTGTTGTCCTTTGGAGCAGGTACAGTGTGTATTTGTGTGCAGGCACAGTGGAGGGTAACTTATTAAAGCCGTCTTGTTTCTAAGTAAGAAGTTACAAAGAAACATAAAAAAAAAAAGACTATTTTAGGTAAACATATATTTGAGTTGTTGTTCTTGAGGCCTCGAAATATTTAAGCAGGTAGTTTTTCACCCCCGTTAAAGTGCATCTGCGGACTAGCCGGACCACCACCGACTGGGCCGCTGTCGGACCACCATCCGGACTAGCCGGCCCACCCTATGGTCCAACCGG